TCATTACAGTGACGGCTAGCAAATGCGTTGCCTCATTGTTGGAACCAAACCACACCAAAAATCATTTCCAAGCTAAGTACGTATACCACATAAATTCTCTGGCGACCTTAAAAAATAGCTGGTAACTGTCCCCTTGACAATCAGACACAGCCTATTCCATGCACTAAGGATAGGGAGAGAATGAACCTCTTACCGTTGATTCGTGAAAGGAGTTGAAAGCTCAGTTGTGAGGCGGTAAACACCAAAGAACAAGCCCACTCTATAAACCTATAAAAGAAGTAACCTGAGCAACTTCAGCCAAAAAGGTTGCATTCTCGAGCAGATCCACACGATGCGCATAGATAGACCGAACGAGACTTACCAAAATGAGGTAGAAGGCTATCGTTGCAACAGAATGATGAACAGTGAATATGAGCTGATTCTTTCGATCATAGTAGATTGGCATTGAAATTATGTCTACAAGGTTATTTGAAGAACACTTACAGTTAAATGAATGCCTCACAAAAAACACGACCTCGCACTAACCCATTTTTTAAAATAAGACCATCTTCAACAGAATGCATGCCGATCACAGGTTCCAAGACCACGATATTTGAGTTCTGAAAGTGGCCTTAAGTCATATACTTGACTTCAAATTTGGTAGTCGCCCAACAAGAGACTCCAACTTGGAGCAACTCAGCTGGAGGCATGAAAGAGGACGTGGCGCAAGGAGCAACAACAAAGACCAGCAGTGCTCGGAATCATCAACACCCCGAAAGTGACTGCGACTGCTTCTTAGATTCGTTGTGGGAATTAAACTTCCTTAACTGAGAGCACCTTTGTTGCACCAACCAGGAACACCCACTAAGCTTTTCATTCATCTTATCAGAGTAAAGACATGTAAAGTTGACCTAGTGAACGTAGAAAGGAAGAAAATATGGAGAGGGGCGGAGGTGCAGTGACCTCACTACCACCAAGCATGGCGCGAACAACGACGGTGGTTAAGCGAGGGATGAATGTTCGGATTGGGTAGAATTCACCACTTTTGGTTTTCAAAACTGCATATCATCAATGCGGTGCTATTAGCGCTA